GTCGATGTAGCAACCTCTGGGGAGGACTTCGGTAGCGAGGTAGTCAGCGCGCGGGCCCTTGGGCACCGGTGTAGCGCAGACCCCCTGGCGGTCAGTCTCAGTTAGCTGTGCGATCTCGCCGCACTTGGAGATCATCCAAATAGCGCGGCGGTCGATCTCGCGGCCCTTGGCCTAGCGACTTGTTCCAGGAGCCTAGCGTCCACAGGTCCCGGTCAATAGCGTGCCAGGACAAGTCCAGCTTGTAGCTTCCCTTGCCTTGCGGGAACGCGTTGCAGCGGGACTGTAGCGGTGGGCGGGCCCCCCCGAATAGCTCGACGGTCAGGGTAGTGCCTTTGCAGTCGCTAGCGGTCTTAGCGGGGCCCATAGCGTCGTCCTGGCAGGCAGCCCTTAGCGGCCTGAGGTAGGTGTTGTTCCCGAAGATGTCACCCCAACTTAGCGAGGGCTCGGGACCCACACCCGACTTGTTAGCGGCGCTTTTGCTGCGCCTGCGGCCTCCAGCGGTGTCCGTAGCGTCGGAGGTCCTGCCCCTCACCTGGGACTTAGCCTCCGGCCGTAGCGGTGGGAACGTGCTCCGCGAGGTCCCTGTAGCGGTGCTTGCCGGCGGCGTAGCTGAGCTGCTAGCGGCTGCTGGGTCGCTTGCGTCAACCTCCTCTCCAAGGGAGGCTCTCCTAGCGGCCTCGAGGTCCTGCTCATACTTCTCGAGTTCTAGCTTCTCCTGCTCGAGGATAGCGCGCAGGGCCTCCTCCCGCTTTCTAGCAGCCTCCTTCTTCACGGAGTCCATAGCGGCCTGTGCCACCTTAGCGTCGTGCTCGGTTTTCTTCTTCCGAGCCTGCTCTTTAGCGATGGCCTCAGCCTCAGCCCTCGCCTTGGCCTTAGCGGCGTCCTGCTCTTGGCGGGCCAGGCGCCTGGTTAGCGACTGCTTCGTGACCGAGCTCATAGCGTCGACCTCCTCCTGGGTGAAGTCCGACCAGGCAGTGGCCCTTAGCGCTCGGTACTCCATATCCCTCTGAGGGCTAGCGGCGCGGCCTCCAGCTAGCCAGAAGCGTTGTGCACCAGCGTCGCGTGCTGGCTTAGCGGGGGGCTGGTCTGCATCCATGGCCAGCTTAGCGTCTTCTAGCCTCGCCTCCATCTCCAGGATTTGGCCTCTGGAGAAGTGGTTAGCGAAGGCTTCGGGCAGCTCGTCCGGACAGAACGTCACTAGCTGCCTCATGGCCCTTAGCGTTTCCAGAATCTGGACTGCCTTAGCGGGGCCATCGGCATCGTCCGAGGGCCCGCTAGCACTGCCTCCTCCTCCGGCCTCCGAAGAGGCAGGAGATGATCGGAGGGGGGGCTCCACCCCCCCTCCCTAAAATCTTCTAGCTAGCTAGAGGTAGCCACCAGCTGCGGGAGGCGGCTTTAGCAAACCCTTCCCTAGCAGGCACCTAGCGGTGGCCGGAGGAAAGCCCGGCAAACGTGACCGTAGGTCCTAGTGAGTGGTCCCCCCCCCAAGGCACCCCCCGCCCCGAAGGCAACCCCAGGCCCATTGTAGCGTTGTTGTACATGTCTGGCATGCGTGCCCTAGCACTGCAGACGAACCTAGCGCACACAGACGACAAGCACAAGTGACAAGCAAAAGTGCCTAGCGCAAGCGGACAAGACATGCAAGTGTCCTAGCGCACATGCGGAAAACATGTAGCAACCACGTGGTTCTCTCCTCTTCTGTCTGTCCTCCCCTCCTAGCCTCCTTCCCTTCCTCCCTCACGGACGGTAGCGGAAGCATGCGAGGCTTTAGCATTCAGGGGAAGACAGGAAATCCGTGGCTAGCGAAACTTGAAAAGGGGTTACGTCCTAGCACTGGGTCCTGACTCGTAGCGGGCACCGCCTCTGGCTGTGCGAGCTCGTCACCCGAGTTCGCTAGCGACCCCTCGGATGGATCATCCTCGGAAGCTTGTGAGCGGTGGGGCCAGCATAGCCGGCAAACGTGTGTGTACTCGTGGGCCGCAGGCCTAGCGACATAGTCCCGGCTGTTGCGGAAGGCCCTGCGGCGTCCCATCCAGCAGCCACTAGCGCCTGCCTTGTGCAGCCTATAAATAGCGCCCGGTAGCTCAACTATGACATAGTTGGCCTTCCTATCAAGGACCCGAGCCTGCTTACAAATCGGGCTCACTAGCGGAGGCCCGGCTGCTATCCTCAGGATCCGCAGCACCAGTCGGCTCTCCTAGCGGTGGCTCCTCTGACGCCAGAGTAGCGGGAATGGGGTCGGGGGCACCCAGGCCCCCTTCCCTCCAGCTGCGGCGCAGGCCCTCTGCCGTGAGTTCGGCCTGCTCGCGAGATAGCCCGGGCCGCTCCATTAGCCACGGCACCAAGTCAGCGGCTATCTCCCTCTCGTCGAGCTTTTGGTAGCGGTCGGCCCCTCTAGCGGTTTCTGCGAATAGGGCTTGGAGTCGGGCCACCCGACCCCAGAACCTAGCGTAGATATCCGAGCCCTCCGGCTTCCAGCGCCCTAGCAGGTCCTTATCGTGCGGGGGTATGTCCTGTAGCGAGAGGGCTGTGGGCAGCACCGATCTCTCGCTGTGCTCCGTCCAGTAGCCTTGCACCTCCAGGGGTAGCCCCAGCAGTGTAGCTAGGAGCCCAGCCGTTGCCACCATAGCGTCTGCATAGCCAGCTCCAGCGCGCCATCGGCCTTAAGCCGGGGCATCAGGTAGTCCCGCTTGTAGTTAGCGTGCTGTTTTAGCAAGGAGAAGCCCTCCTGCAGCCAGCCACTCTTGACGAAAAAGGCGTACTCGGAGATAGCGACCGGTAGCTCTCGCACCCGTCGGTTCGGGCCCGAGGTCTTGGTGCGCCTTAGCGTCGCGACCAGACGGCCTTCCACTAGCGAAAGCTCAGCCGGGATGATAGCCTGCAGATCCGACCAGGCCCAAACCCTCCATCCAATAGCTTGCCCAGGGTCCATCACCAGATGCTCCAGGCGCGCTAGCAGATATACTGGATAGCGAGGGGCCCGCTTGATGAGGCGAGCACCCTCCGACAACACCTCGGTGATCTTGTCCTTAGCTGCCCAGGCCAGGCGTCCGTGTGTAGCCCGCTGTTCCTCCGGGAACTCGGCGACCTTCTCCACCCAGGAGATAGCCTTCAGGATAGCGTCCGGGACCGAGCGTCCACAAGGCTCGTCCCGCCGGGCTAGCAGATAGTCCACTAGGTCGGCTGGGCGCCCTGGCGGATAGCGGAGCTTAGCCTCTGCAAGCCAGAGCCTCCACTGCCGGTAGTAACTCAGGTAGCGCTTGAGGGTGGTAGCCCGGGTCTTGCCGACCAGTAGCTGCGCCGCCCGGTCCGGGTCCAAGCTTCCCTGCGCTGCGAGCACGGGGGCATCTATCACGAGCAGCTCCTCCTGTAGCCGGCGGCACCAGATGTCGAGGAGCCGCTCCTCCCTTGCGGCGACGATGCAGCCATCGGCGATTAGCTTTCTGTTGCGTTCGCCTTGCGGCGGGGGTAGCTCCGGCGCATAGCGGGGGCCGCGTCCTGCGCCCTCATCGGTTGGCAGCACCATAGGTGGCATTAGCGTCATCCACGTCAGATCGTCATTGAAGTAGCCCCGCACCCTTCGGTGCGGCTTAGCTTCCTGCTGCGCTTCTTGCAACCAGCAGTACAGCGCGTCTTCTAGCCAGTCCCCCATGGGGATAGCGAGCTCTTCTGCTAGCTGCCGGGCCATGGCGGGTACCTCATCGAGGTCCAGCGAGGCGAGCTCTGGGATACCGAACCCCTGGAACAGGCCCGCTGGAGGATCGGCCTGGAGGGTCAGAAGCCACCCTAGCGAGTAGTCCCCGGAATCCTGGGCCACCTGGTCTAGCATGACAAGCATGAGGCTGAGCACGTCCCGGGCACCATCCTGGGAGTTTGCTTGATAGGAGGTCGAGGGCTTGGGCCGTCTGCCAGGCAAGAAGTCCAAGAAGAGGCTGGCCCCCGAATGCCCCGCTCTAGATATCTCATGTAACCGACCTGGTCCGCGGGGAGCATCCCTGTGGGATCCATCTTTCTCTCGAGATTCTGGCGAACCTTTAGGGCAAAGGACCCGGTTCGCTGACTCAGCTCCTGCTGCAGCTTTACACGGCCTACCGACCCCCTGATCGTAGCTCCTTGGCCCGCCGGTGTTTCGAGAAGAGGGTCTGCCGAGGAGCCGGAAAGCTGAGACACCAAAGCCACCACAGCCTGGGACTGAGCGAGCACTGCAGACGTGAGCTGGGTCCCCTCAGTGCTTCCTGAGGGCACTTCGCCTATGCCAATGCAGCGCTGCGCTTCCTCCTCGAGATCGGCCTGAGTAGGAGCGGCCGGCGGCTGAAGTTTGACGGGCGGCGGGGGGCCCAGCACGGACGTCCACTGTAGCAATCCAGTCCCTGGCTTGGCGAATAATGTCCGTGGCCCTGGGGAACACTGCGGGGTTGTCGTCTTTGAAAGTGTAGAGGGAGGGTGCAGCAAAGTCGGCCGGAGCAAGCTGCGACGCCACCTGGGCCGACAGGTCCACCACAATGGCCGGCACTAGCTCGGCCTCGGCAGGAGTGCTCCACTCCCCGGTCGGGGACACCACCACTGCGGGAGCTGAGGCCACAAAGGAAGGCCCGATCCCATCCACCTCGGTCGCTGCTTGGCCTCTGTCCAGCTCCTCCTGCGGGAGGAAGCCCTCCGGTACACAAAGCAAGAAGCCAGAAGGACGCTTCATAATACAGTAAGCGAGGCATTGGTAAGAGGCCTGGTCAGGTGACAGCACCGGCCAAGAAAACTCCACTATTTCCACTGACCCCGACTCAGCTGCCACGAGGCTGTCGAAGTCCATCTCACCTGGTCAGGCTGGCCGGGTAGGGCACCTGAGCACCGGAGAAATACACACGGCACTCGGCAACTGAAGGGAAGCCGTGGGTCACAGAATCCTGAAGGTTGTGGCCAACCAGGCGCCTGAAGGCAGCGAGGGAAGACACAACAACGGGCGAAGCCAAGCCCTGGGCACGCAGGATGCAGTAGTACCTGGAAGACAACCCGACAGCCGGGGAAGGGTCTGGCTTGTCGACCCTCCCAGCTAGCACGGCAGAAGCCCAGCAACCAGCAAGCCAAGCCCGGGAGGCTCGTTCCACACCTGAAAGCTCGGAGCCTGACAGCGAAGAACACAGGGCGAGGCAGGAGTCGGGAAGGGCCGGAAAGTCCAAAGCGATCGCCTGACGCGCTGCAAAGGCAGAGGGTGGGGACCTCTGAGGCAAGGGGTACTCGGGCACAGCAGCTGCTGAGGAAGAAGACGAAGCCTGCACTGACCTGGCACCTAGATGCACCTGCCTTACCTCACCTGTGGCCGGAGCCTGCAAGGGGTTGGGGCTCGCAGCTGAACCAGAAGATGGCCCAGCCGCGGAATGCACACGGGTTGGGGCTAAGGTAGCTGGCTGCTCCAAGGGGGCACCGACCAAGGTGAAAGAGGCAAGGGAGTCGGAGGGCGAAGGCGGGTCGGCTCGGGAGGAGTTGGCCCTAGAACCAAGCCTAAGACCCCTAAGCCTAAGCGAAAGACCTTCGATCTGCAAAGAAAGGTCCCAATGGTCCTCCTCCTCACTCATACGCGTACCCTTGCAGTCGGGTGCGCCTCCTGATGAGAGCGGAGGGCGCTGCAGCTGCCGGCTCCGCGGCCTGTTGCGAATAGCTCCCTGCCAGGTATGTAAATACAATCCAGGCACCAAAAGCTGTTCCACAAATAAAGCCCAGCAAAAGAAATGCTATGTATGATCCCAAAGCAGGAGAAGTGCAGTAAAATGGGCAGCCTAGCCCCCAGAAGTTTGTAGTGACACCAGAGTGCCAGATACGAAAAGCTTCAGCGACGCCGGCCCACATGCACAACCCTGCTACGCTTTAGAGCTCGAGCCCGCAGGCAAAAGTACGTCACTCGCTTCTAAAGTTCATCACTCTCGGAAAGCTTTTGGCGCGGGGATGTGCCCAAAAACTGGCTATAATTCGGCAAGAATACAGTACAATTGCGACAATTGCTGCTTAAATGTAACTTCAGCCACATGACGCGTCCATTTTATGTCAGTTTGTGCAGTTTGTTCTGCCTGTGTCACTTGTCCTATTCATACCTCGCAACTTGACATAGTCACGTAGTCGTAGAAATAGTAGGCACAAACGGCAGAGGTGGCACAAACGGCCCCAATACCGCATTTCTGCCACTGGCCCGCTTGTGCCACTTGTGCCGTTTTTTAGCTGCTTCTGCCACCTGTCCCATACCTGACTACTGGTAATGGTAATAATAACACTAATGCAAATACTAACACTAATACTGATATTAATAGTAATGGTAATAGTAAAAATCCTAGCAATATCAAAAAGAATATCAATAATAATAATAATAAGAATAAGAATAATAGTAATACGAATAATAGCGGTAACAGCCATAGCAATAGCACTAGCAATAGCAATGGCAATAATAGCAGTAATAGCAATAGATACAGCACCAGTAGTAATGATAGTGATAGAAACAAAAAAGTAATAAAATTAATGGTCATAGTCATCGTCATAGTCATAGCAAGAGCAAGAGTAAGAAGCAAGAGTAAGAGTGCTAGTCAGAGTAACTCTGAGCATCGCGGCTGCTGTCTAAAGAGGTGTTTATTGTAATAGTAATAGTACGTAATAGCAAAAGAAAGGGCAACACCTTAGCGTCGCCGTTGCTGTCTAAAGAGGCGGTCATTGGGGATTCGTGCAATACGTGCTCTCCGTTGTTGTTGGTGAAGCATGATGCCCCAAGGGCGTCTAAAGAGTCTACATGGTGGCGTGGCATCGCCCTGGCTGTCTAAAGTAGCGTCTGACAAGTGTGCTGGGAATCAGGTTCGGGCTGCCGGTTGGTGCGTTTGGCGTTGGAGGTCACAGTGGGGCCTCTGTTACTTAGTAGTAGGGGTGGAACTAATGGCTTTCAGCTCTCCGCGCAGCGGGAAGTCACGCCCTGCGACGAGGTTGTGAGCAGGTTTCGCAACCTGGTGCCATTGGCACTCAACCTTTAATTGACTCCGACATGTCACCACCCCTGCGGGCCTTGTGTTAGCATGGTAGACACAATGGACAAGCAAAAGCACAGACGATAGCCCTCCAAATGGATTGACTTACTGATGGAAAATGCCAGCAGTTCAGTGCCGTGCGTATTTTGGGGTGCGAAGCACGTTCATGTTGTGGCGCAGGAGATTGCAAAACAGAAGTCGTGGCTCTTAGACCCCGAAAAAGACCCCTGGCCTGGCCTCCCTTCGAGGCCCAGGGCCAGGAGCACGTCCCCCTGCAGCGCCTCGGGGTCGCAGCGCCTGGCCCTGGGAGTGGTGGAAAGCTCTAAAAAAGGGAGACTTGAGGGGATCTTAAGGTAGGGTTTAGGGTTTAGGGTCTAGGGTTTAAAGGGTTTGGGGTTTAGGGTTTAGGGCGACCAGGGTTTTTTTGTCAGTGCCATGCGNNNCGTCGCGCGCTTTGGCGCCTGCTCTGCCGGGTCTCGCGGGCTTTGTAGTTGCTTTTTGAGGATTACATACTGTTCATTCTGGCCATAGAGTTGTTTGGCGGCATAACTACGAGCGGTGTGGTCCCCTACCCATATATTCGGGAA